AATTTCGCATAAAATATTTACTTCTAAATTTGTGCAAACAAAATAGGAACTAAACTTACAAACAGGAAGAGGAGTAACATCCGAGTCGTGAATAAAATTAGAGAACACTAAATACACTAAACGTCCGATCACTCAACCGAAATAGCGAAGAAATATAACATGGAATCTTAAAAAAATAATATTAATCTTAAGTTTTTCTGGTATCCTGTCTGTCATTTTAGATAGAAACACTGGATAAAATGTAAAAATAATTTATAATTTTAGTACATACTTAGTAATATTTTTCATAGGCTAGAATGCCATGAAATTTTTTCGATTTATAACTGTCGAAGTATTAGTATATGTAGATTGTTTTGTAGCTGCATCTGAAAATGTTTTGTCCTCGCTATTTATGGAGACCGCCTATTTTTACTGCCGTTAAAAAAAAAAAAGGCTTTCAATAGAACATTTGGTTTATAATTACTTCCTCTGTAGCGCATTGTAAGCTTTCAGGTCTTTCGTGACTGCTGCTGGTTTGACGCCTGTACTACTTCAGTTACTGCTTTGTGTTTCTTTTTAAGCTCCTATGTCTATGCGCGTTGCAGCTGATTGGTAATGTAGCTTTATAATGGGTTATTTGTTTCGTATATACTGTTCTATCAAATTAACTTTATTGATTTAGGAACGATTTTCTTAGTCCAAACTCTGCTCTGGAAACTAATTTTTAGACTCATTTTGACTTTTATTACAAAGTATCGGTTTGTTTCAGAGAATATTACAAGTGAATTTTAAAAATTTGGGAAAGAGTAAGTTGAACTGAATGCATTTTAAATTAACTGCGGCATCTTAATTATAATATATAGAAGTGTTTATATTCAATTACAGCAAGATCTTACATAAATATTTCTTTCTAGAATAAAGTATGCGGTGCTTGTATTATATCTGCCGATGCTCATGTTTACCATAAATTCTTGTATTGCATTCAAATAAATGTTAGTTTTACTGTTCGCTGTGGGTCAACAGTGACTAGAATGTTAAAATGGAAATAAATAAGTAAATAATAATAATAAAAAAATACATATTATTTAAGTTTAAAACTCAAAGCCCTTTTTATTGTTTTGGAATTGTTATTGAAGGAATTTGTTGAAAAAAAAAAACTCATGAAAATTTAAAAGAACAAAAAATATAGTACAAATAATCACATAATGTACAATTATTTCCTAATGCTTCCTATCTGTTTCATAAGCATGAGAAGGGGAAAATATTTTATCAAAGGATTCCTTAAAAAAATTGGTCTTCAAAATATATAATTTAACCAGTAATTTATCTAAAGGATACTTATAGCTGTTACATGTAAGTGATGCCCAGTGCCGGTGCTATCCGGGCGGCAAAAATACGCTCTGGAGCCGGCCGTATTGATGCCATTATTGATAATTTGCTAGTAGATATGTTGCGAGCATATATTTATGTATAGTTGGTATACATAAATTGTATAATTTGCTAGTAGACATGTTTACCATAACTTCATGTATCGCATTCAGATAAACGTTAGTTTTGTTGTAGTTTCGTTGTGGGTCAACAGTGACAAAAATTATCTTGGGTGTTTCTACTTCCCTCACACAAATTCCTCTATTTTTTTATAGTTTATCTGCGCTTATCAGTATTATATACTAACAATGTACGTGAAGTTCATTGTGTGGGAATTAGTTCACCGTAATAACGTAGTCTTGAACAAAGAGGATAGCTTCTGTTTTCACAAATTGCATAATCCTAGAGATATAAAATCAAAAATTTGTAAAGAAAAAAAGTTCAAGGAAAAGCAAACAACAAAATTCAATACGCAGGTGACAGATAATGACTATGATTACGCAGCAGTAATTCAAATATTTATTGACAGTGTAGTGAAATGTTTAAATGAAATTTACCATTTTGGTCAAACATCAAACTTTTTATTTTTCAAAATTACAAAAACTAAAACATTTCCAGCTCGAGAATCTTCAGCACATCTTCAAGCGAGCATCTTTTTAAGCAGGAGTACTTTAACATTTCCCACTCGATAGTTAAGTTTGGTAGCGTAGCAACGCTAAGACGTTACAGTAGGTTATCACCAACGGAAACAAAGAGGTTTCACTATCGGAAGTTACAACCCACGAAAATCGCAGGCATCAGTTCGTATTTAAGTGCTATTTATGGTTTATTTCTTTCTGTACGTCCTTCTGTTCAGTCTAAAAACATGTGAATCAAGATGTAAAGATGTTCTTTTAAAACAGCTCTTCTGATGCTTCTACAAGTACAGTATCCGTTACTGAATCTTGTCTGAATGTGTTTTCCCTCTCACACTCTGTTCGATGATGTGAAAAGGTTTTAGATTTTGAGAAGTTCAGGATTATAACGAACAGTTATTCTGTTTGGTATCATTATGCATTATTGATGCTTTTCCGACATAAGACAGTTAATTCTGAAATGCTTTAATGCCAAAGCCCTTCCAGGGCACCGTGTTTGTATGCAGGGTTTAAACCTACTTCTGCAGCACCAGCGAGATCAAAGAATGTATTTTCATAATGATAGGTGTACTGTCGCATATACATAATGATTTCGCATATATTGCAATTTTATCTTAATTTTAATGAGGAAACAGAAGTTGCCTCTGCGCCTTTAAAGTGATGTTGTGTCTCGCATTTTCCTGATGGTTTAGAGTTAATTAATTCACTTCATATTTTTTTTACCATGATTATTTCTCTCATTGGAAGATGATCGTGGCTCGGTGATTGAAACTAATGTGATTTATTTAATATTAATGTCTTTCTGTTGTAACTCAATAGTTCAAGCCGGGCTCCAAATCCCGACGGAACGGGTTGACTGCATGGGTATTTTATTAGTTTTCTTCACGCGCAAGGCAGATATGAGCCATAAGTCTTCCACAAAGGCATCCATCCACATATGTAATGTATGTAGTTCTCAAGTTACTTTGTATTAATCGATTAACTTCATAACTATTTTTTCCCCCATCGTAATGGAAGAAAGTGTGTGTGTGCGGATTCAGATAACCATTTATTTCGCAGTAATAATTCAGAAGCCCATTTATCCTAGTAATCGTCCTTTGAAAATTTGGATAATCGTCATATTTCAAAATCATTTATGCATTTCTTCGGAGGTTGAAACCATTGATCAGATGATCAAGGTGATGTTTTTGTCCTTTCGGTCTATAGAATCAGCATGGTTTATGCTTTTATTTTCCCGATTCATCTGATTTCTTTCTGTATAGAAAATTAGAGTCGCAACGACTCGAAAAAATTGTGAACACCGGAAGGGCATCATCAGTGCCATTCGGGAGCTGCTAAAAGGAAGAAGAATGAATTTCAGAGCGACATTCAATGGCTGAAGAAATGCATGGCGATGATTATGTTGAAAAGTGTTCAATAATTTGAGGAAAATTAGCCGGCTATCTAAATTCTTACTGTGAAATTAAATGGATTTTTGGACTCTCGCATATATATTTATTTGGAATCGTTCTTTTTTGGATCAGCGCGAAGTCTAACTGGTTATTTTTCTATAATTCAACTTTTTGTGGTGAATTGGATTAGCAAACGCTAATATTTTCTGCAATTCCAAGTGCATAATTTTTATCGATAGATAGATAGCATGTGCAGTCGAAATAATTTATTCATTCAAAAACGCTACTTGCTTATTGTTTTGGTATTTATCGTTTTCTGTTATGATACGTATTACTAATTTTTTATCATTATTATTTTTCATTGGTTTATCCGAGGAACTCCTTCCTGTAGAATTCATTCGTATTTTATCACTTATTGCAAGTTTTGTTATCTAAGTAATTGATTATTTGATAATTTCGTGGCGAAACAAATTACATGTGTTTATTTAATTTACTTTTAATGCAGTGCACTTAAAAAATCCTCCTCGAAGGCATCATTTTCCTTAGGTTGAGAGCTCTTGCATGCTTTGCCAGAATCAAACAAACCAGATGATTCAAAATAACTTTCTCTTATTCTATCGCTGTTACTTGCAAGGAAATAGAACTTTTTGTAACTATTTCATAATTTCGTATTACCTTCCTGAAAAAGTGGGGGTATCAAATACATTGTTGACCTTTGAAGCGCGCATCATTTTTAGATAAGAGAAGGACATATTTATCATTGAGTAACTTTCTCCAAGTCTTTCAGTCTGGACTTTTTCGTGCACTTAGCTTGTTTAATGTGTTATATTTATAACCTTGCTTGGATTAAAGATTGTGTTCTTTTAGCGATTTATAATGACGCTTCCCATCATGGTGTTTATAGACTTACCTTGTTTTAATCTTAATATTTTTATAGTGACTTTAAATGTCTATTTAGCTTCGGTGAGTAATTAAGGCAATTTTATTTAATATTTTATAGGATAAAGAGGTATATTTTTCCTAAATTTTTATCTCCTTGCTCAAAGCGAAGTAATTATTGTAATCACGAAAAATTTCGGGTATCGTATTTCAACCATAATAGGAAGTAAGTTTAAATGAAGTGAAGCAAATAAAGACGAAATATATTCACGTTTTGGCAGTGTCAAATTAAATATATATATATATATATTGGGAAAATAACGAATTTAACTTTTAATGCATTCTCCCTGTTCCTATAACTTACATTTTATAAAGTTTTACACTGGTTATGAAAAAATAAAAATAAATGAAATTTGACTCCCATAGGACAAAAATTGACCAGAGTTTTTAGTTTCAGAATTCGGAATTTTTGATGTCAAATTCTAACTTGCCTTGAGGGATCAATTAATTTAGAATATTTTGAAGAAGTAAGTTTAAATGAATTGCATCAAAATGTGTGTATAATTTAATAAGCCATATGAGGAAGTAATGTGGTGTTCGCATCAGATTTTGTATCCACATCAGATTGAATATCTTTTTAAGATCACAACAAATTTTTATGGCTTTTATTTATTGATTGAAGTACATGAAATACAAGACAGCAGTTGCTTATTTTTATAAATGCTTATAATCTATTTTTCCTTTCTAGAATACAACCGGTTTGAAGCAAAAATTCATGATCTCAGGGAGCAGATGTTAAATAATACTTCTGGCAGCTTACGGACTTCTCAAAAAAGATCGCTGTACGTTAGGTGCGTGAAAGTTTTTATCTAAAGCTCTGTATTGATAAGTATAGTGTATATAAATTTCCTCTGGTTGAACTTCAGTTTTCTTCCTTGCAAGTTAAGTATGACATAAAAAAAGTTATGCATCAGTTTGTGTACTGTAATATTAATGCTAATCTGTTTAGATTTATATTCGCCTGAGACTCGTATATATATATGTTTTTTTAAGTTATAAAATGCTTTTTAATTGTTTCTGTAGAAAATGTCATGTTACTACTTGGCACATGTGGAATTATTTGGCACTTTATTAATATGTGCAATAAATAGGGTGGCTCAATCATTTTGTGAATGTGAATTATGTGATTTTCTACAGTGGCACTGCAATCTACAATTGCACGGAGAAAAATGTAAAATATTTAATTATTGAATAGATGGATAGTTTACAATTGAAGACCAGCCTTATAACATTTAAGGAACAGCAAGATTCATTACTATCAGTGATTTTATAGTATTGGTTAAGCGAAATTTTTTTAACAATTTTCCATATATTTAATTATTCTGTTTGAATTATACATTTTACTGGCTGAAGGGTTTAAAATTTATTAGAAACTGATTTGTTCTGTTCTGTAATGATCAATAGAGTTTTGTTTTAAATGTCTGTATAATATATGCATGTATGAACCACTTACATTTTTGAATACTTCAAGAATAGCTGTTTTGTACTAGAGATTCCTTAACAATTCGTTCCTAAAACTTTCATGAAAAGCTCAAAAATGTAGTGCTAGTTATACTGATGATAAACTATGTATTTTGGGTAGTATAGAGAGCTGAAATTAACAACTGCATAATGTGGATCAATATTTTGCTTTTTCAGAGCATTATTTGATTATGATCCATCTAAAGACAGTGGACTGCCAAGTCGTGGCCTTCCATTTGGTTTTGGAGATGTTCTTCATGTAACTAATGCAAGTGACGACGAGTGGTGGCAAGCTAGAAAGGTTTTATCAGACGGAGAAGAGGAAGGAATGGGCATCATACCAAGTAAAAGGAGGTAAAACATTGTTTATTCTTATATAAGTCAGTGATATCTGATGAGTTATCTTTTTCTTTTTTGATGACTACCTGAGAAGGACATTTTTAAATTGATGTACAGCAAAAGGCCAACAATCTGCCATTCAACTAACCAGAGAGTTGAAGTAACCTTAATATTTTAGATTTTTACAAAAAAAAGTTTCTGCTGAGTAATTTTGTAAATGAGAGATTTGTAAGTCCATTATAGAGATTGTAATACTATTAACATGTATACATTGTCACCAAACTCTGTGATTTAGCAAACAGTAGTGATGGATAAGAGCCTCACGCCGCAACACAGTTTTAGAAATTTGATTTCGTAAGTTTTGAAGTTTGAAATCTCTCTGCTGAATTATGTACTCCCTCAAAGATTTTTTCTACATACTTATTGTTCCCCTTATTGCTTGTCAATTAAGTATACCATTGTTCGAAACCCTGAAAAAAAACTTCGAATGAATGACTTCAAAAGATAAAGTATTGCACGTGTATCTTTCAGGTTTCTTCTGAAACAAAAGTGTGCACGTTATACTGTGAATATACCTAAAAGTTAAAAAATGTAGTTTCAAATTTATAGGTGTGCGTTATATGCTGGAATATACGGTAATTTTAAATGCAGGCTTTTGATATTTAAATTGGTTACAAATAATATGATTGTATTTATAATTTTAGAGCAAATATTTTCCCCATGCATTTGATTTTCCTAACTTTAATTGCGATTTTTATACCCTCATTCATGTATCTGGAATTCAGCATTTTCCGAGCTTACCAGATAGATGAGCTTTTACTGTACTTTCATGTTTTCAATGTAATTGGAAATCATATTAAACTACAAATGTTTTTATTATCCTTTTAGAGTTGAAAGAAGGGAAAAGGCTAGATTAAAGTCTGTTAAATTTCAAGGAAGGAATAGTTTTTCAGATGGGAAGGTAGGTCAATAATTTTTATATATTATATATGGTGGATGGACAAAAATATAGAAACACCTTGTGAAATGCATGTTTAAAAGGAAAGATTGATTTTAATGAAATATGTAGGTGGCGCTGGCGTTTTTGACTACTGACGCCACCTATACAACTTCGTAAATGTGCTAAACAGTTCATTGTTGTCGAGTACTGTTATGTGAGGTTGTCATTGCATTATGTCAGAGTTAACAGACTTCGAATGTGGGCAAATTGTTGGAGCACGTATGGTAGGTACTTCCGTAAGCAAGGTAGCCGAGGTGTTTAGTGTTTCAAGAGGTACTGTATCGAAGATTTATTCCGCATATTTGAAAAGCAGAAATAAATCATCTGCTAAATCACAGCGCGGACGAAAGTGTGTCCTGAGTGATCGTGACAGACGATCATTAAGGACAATTGTGACGAAAATGGTAGGTGCTTCCGTAAGCAAGGTAGCCGAGGTGTTTAGTGTTTCAAGAGGTACTGTATCGAAGATTTATTCCGCATATTTGAAAAGCAGAAATACATCATCTGCTAAATCACAGCGCGGACGAAAGTGTGTCCTGAGTGATCGTGACAGACGATCATTAAGGGCAATTGTGACGAAAAATAAGAAGACCACACCTGCAAAAGTTACTGCTGAAATGAATGTTGTGTTACCGAACCCTGTGAGTACCAAAACCAATTAGAGGGAGCTTCATAAACAGGGGAATTGCTGGCTGTGCTGCAATTGAGAAGCCACTCACCAGTGATGCTAATGCCCGTAACAGGAAAAGGTGGTGTTTAAGTCATAAAGCCTAGACTATAGAGCAGTGGAAACGAGTAATATGGTCTGACGAGTCTTCTTTCACATTGTTTCCCACTTCTGGCAGAGTTTATGTCTGGAGAACGCCATCTCAAGCTTATAATACAGACTGCTTGTTGCCAAGAGTGAAATATGGCGGGGGTTCTGTTATGGTTTGGGCAGCTATATCGTGGTTCTCTGCTAGCCCCATGATAACTGTGTCAGGGCACATGACTGCCAAGACTTATGTGAACATTTTGGCCGATCAAGTTCATCCCATGGTACAAACTTTGTTCCCCGATGATGATGGTGTCTTCCAAGACGACAAAGCCCCTGTTCACTCAGCTCACATTGTCCAGGACTGGTTTTCTGAGCACGAGGATGAGTTGTCCCATCTCCCCTGGCCACCACAGTCACCAGACCTGAATATTATCGAACCTTTGTGGTCTACATTGGAACGGAAAGTGCGTTCTCGTTATCCACCGCCAACATCGTTATCTGAACTTGCCACCGTTTTGCAGGAAGAATGGTATAAATATCCCTTGGCAAACATACAGGGAACTGTATTTATCCATTCCGAGAAGACTGCAAGCTGTTTTGGATGCCAACGGGTTTCCTACACCATATTAAGCAAAGAAACATGTTTTTTTTTAAAGGTGTTTCCATATTTTTGTCCAACCCCTGTATTTGCATGTACACATAATTGTTTACATGTGTGTTATGTGATACTGTATATGACAGTGCTTTTCTATTTGTATGTATTTCATCTACAGTGGAGTTATATTCATTTATATGTATGTGCACTTCCACTTGAAAATAGTTTGTCATTTGCTTAAAAAATGTATGATTTCTGAATTTAAAGGTGACTTAAATCAACAAAATTTCTGTCTGTTATGTCAAGAAAATTAACCAGATAGTTTTACAAAAACTTCTTAAATCCAGTTTCTGTGAAGAATTTTCAGATTGCATTACTTTTTCACTTTTATTGTGTTATTACTATTTACTGTATGTTAATTGCATTACATTATTGTGTACTGTCTTAATAGGTGATCTACCTTATTTAACTGTGTAGTTTTATAGGTGGCGCCACTAAAATCGTTGTTTTTACCCTTTTTTTTCCCTTCTGCTATTTTATTCAAATCTGCATAATCAGATTTATTATTTAATATTAATATTTTTTACATTTTGCAAAATATTTATTTCTTTTGCTTCGTTTTATGCTGCGTAAAAGAAAACATTCAGTGTGTGAATAAAAGGAGAGGGGGAATATTTTTTTAAAATTTGATCAGCTGGTTTAAATATGTCAATGAATTACTCGATATTAATATAACTAAAAGAGAGCCCCTAAATGATATGGATTATGTCAAGAATGTACTGCTGTATTTTTATTAGTTTATTAAAAAACTTATTTACAAACAATTTGTTGTAAACAGAGTATTAAAAAAAGAGAGATAAATTAAACACTGTGGCCATATAGGATAAGTTCTTATTGCTCTTTGTAATGTAAACAAAAAAAAAAAAAAAATTCTATTTGAGAGTAAATAAAGATTCAAAGACAACATTTAAAAAACTCTTCACAAATTCAACTGAAAAATTACATGTGAAAGAAATGATAAGCATAAACATTGCTTTTACAGATAAAATAGTCTGAAAAAGAGATGGCGTCATCTCGTATAAAACTGATTAACTAACATAATTCAGTAGATCACCAGTTGAGGCAATACCCCTTATTGTTACTGTAATGAAATGAGCCTAAACAGTATATCTGTCATCTTTTTATGTAGAGTACACTAGAGCGGAAAAAGAAAAATTTTTCCTTTTCAAGGAAGTTCCCTTTTATGAAGAGCAAAGAAAACAGTGGTGATGATAGTGATAATGATCGTAAGTCTCAATATTTTTTAATATGAAATGAATTTTTATGTGAATATGAATAATATTTTAATATGAAATATGAAATCTATTTAATTCACTTTGTTTCAAACTAATCTAATCATTCAAATGAGTTCATGTACTAAAATGATAAATTGCATATAAATGCTCTTAATGAATGTTTTTTATCAATAAAATATCAAATATTTACTTGTTTAATGAGTCTTTGTCAAACTTAAGATTCATGATTGTACAATTGGTAATGGGAATTTATTCTTTGATAATTATTTTTAATGCAATGCATAATTTTTAAATACAAAATTGGAATAAATTTTTTATAAAACTTTATTTATTTTAAATCATATTTATATTTGATATTTTTATGGTTCTTCACACATATACAATTATTCTATGCATTTATAATTTGTGTTTCATTGGCTTGTTTTGAATTTTTATATATAATTTTTATCTATTACATTAATACATTTTACTTTAGTGTTTTTTTATTCTATTTCTAACAATTTTTGTCTACTGTGTGATTTGCATGAATTCAAGAGTTTTTGTGCGTCTTCATATTAGGAGTAATGTATTAAAATTTCCTGTTTTTCGTGTAACTGGTTTTTATCATTAAGTGTGTATCTGTGTGGCTAAAATTAATTATTAAAACGATTTATTAGTTAGTTGTAGATTTACTATCTTAAATTACTTTATTAATAAAAGATATTTCTAAAATTTTAGAAGATGGATCTCCTACTAAAGGTTAGTTAATTTTGAGCTGAATTAAAATTCTTTCTTATACTTTCAAGTCTTTTGCATGTGCATGATATTCTTCACCAAAAGGATAATTCTAAAGGGTAACTGTTATGAAATAATATGTGCTTATTTTGATTTTAAATAGTTTTGCATGAAACCTGTCATAAAATATGTGCATGATACTTTGTAATATTTTTCTCCAGCCATCATTGTATTTGTGTCTCTTTTTTGTTAACTCATGATTAAAAGTGTTCTCTGTATCAATTTAGTGTCTTTGATCTTGAAAACTTCAAAAAATAATAGTTTTCTGACAATAGGAACAGAGCCTTTTCTGTTCTAGGCCCTTCTCCCCAGAACCCAGGTCTAAATTATCCTGAAATAAACTTACACTGCTTATTTACATATTTTAGCTATTTTCTCATAATGCATAATAGCCAAATTTCTCTCATGTAGGAAATCTTACATTTACGTAAAAGGGGATATTTTACTGAGTGTAGCGTAGATGCAGACTATTGAAAGGTATAATTACATATTTCTTTTTAAAAAGAGGTGTTCTCTCTTTGCACTGAGAAGTCAGAAGTTGATGTGCAAAGTAGAAGAACCTGACAGACATTTCTGGATTAAAATATTCCTTTCATTTCTAGTTGATGAACATTATAATTTTAGATATAATTTTGATGACAAACTAAACACCAGGTTAGCTAGCAAAAGAAGCAGAAAGCAAAATGTGTTGTGCTTTCACACGAAGTTGACTTCAAAGTGGTTCAGATTTTGGTATACAATGTTGATTTTAGCTTGCTATATCTGGAGTGGATAATATTTAAGCTTTAAAAATTATTATTGCCTGGAATGTTTATGTAAGATAAAGCATTAAGTTAAATCATTTGGCATAGATTAATTTAGGTGTTTTATATTATAGCATGTAAGAATTATTTTTTCACATTTGAAGCAACACAAGGAATTTTTATTATAGTTAACATAAATTTAAATTAGATTTCTATAGTTCTTAGAATCTTAAACAAAAGTTTAAAAAACTCAAAAATATTTTCTTTTGGACCCTTTTTTAAAGCATTTTAGTCATGCACAAAAAAAAATCCAATATGACATCAAGTATCAGTCTGAAATGCTGATTATTAATATTCATATGGAAACAGAAACTGTATTATGAGAGCCAATAAAATTAAATAATTTGTCTAACGTTATATATAATGAAAGTTATTTTAATGCACTTGCACATTTTTGTAAATGTTAGTCTTTTATATATATATTGTTGCGTGCGTACGGGTTCGTTATGAAATGAAAGCACAAGTCCGATGAGAAATGAACAAAAATTTATTATTATCACAACAAAAATGCTTAAATTTTCTCAAATTATCATGCAGTATTACAATATCTCACAGTAGTTATCTTTTAACTACTCAAATATCCAATAGAATGTAATTCAAAACAGCTAAAGAACGCTAATCCGCGAATTCGCTACAATCAAAAAGAGCAGTTTTCTAAACAACAACAAACTAAGCAAGCAACTACGAACTGAGATGTTTTCCTCCTTTTATAAGATTTTAAAATCACGCGCTAGAATTTTCCAGTACTTTCTCGAAATCAAAAAGAGATATTTATTTATTTAATGCACGCGCTTTGTTTTCAATTTTCCGGCTTAGCTTTCTTTTAATATTCGTCACGCGCTGCACTGCGCGAGAAATAAAACCATTTAATTTATAATTGAACTAACATTAGCTTTTTAAATACAAATTCGTAACACTGCCCCCTTCCCAAGGACTGCATGCACCCCGGGCAGTACAATCCCTGGACAGGAAGCTAAACTTACAACTGTGGCATAAATGCATTAATAAGCATTACATTACAATAATAAACAAACATGAACAATAAATGCAATAAGTAAAACAAATCAAATGCTATCAATACAAATCAAACACTAAATGCAAATCAAATACAAATACAAAAAATCAAAACATATTTAAAAACAAAATGGACCATGGTCTTATACTATTTACAATTATTTACATTATGTACTATGGCCATAGTAATGAGCTAACCTGTCGTAAGAGTTCGAAGACTTACGGATCCGAACCACGACGTCATTTAGCCTGTTTAGGGGACTGTGGCGAACCATCCAAGGTGACTGTAAATTTCAGGCCTGACTCCTTTCGTCGAATCGGTTCCACAACCACACCTTGTCCTCTTCGTTGGAATCTATGTCCAGTAGCATTCGTGTTGTATCTGGTCTTCACTTTCTCCGTCGCCAAGTTCACTCGCTTTCGTGCGGAACGGTGCATCACTTCAAAACGGGCCTTGACATCTTGGATGTGTTCCTCAGGCGATGAAGGCGCATCCGTATGGCGGAAAACAGGCGGTCACAATTCAGACGAAGGTCTCGACCGAAGAGCATCTGAGATGGAGAATAGCTGGTAGTCTGGTGTTTCTTTTCGCCCTAGCTGATTTCGGCTGTTTCTCGAGCTGGTTCTTTCGACAAAGCGTCGGCATTTCCAGGTGAGGATCCCTTCTTAGGATGGATAGTCATGTTTCAGATCCTGAAAGCAGTTTGTTGTTTTTAAGTCTAAGGAAAAATTGTATTTCCTTAAAAAGTCCAATCCGAGTATGCATGGAATCTGTAATATCCGCCCTATGCCGTGTGATGGTAGGCGGCACTTCCAAACGTGATGTTTACGTTTAACTTCCAGTTATGTCGATCTTGTCACCAGACGCAGTCTGAAGGGTAACCAGGATGGCGTCCAAAAAGTTTATCTTTAAAACTGTTCAGCTAAATCTTTCCTAATGATGGTAAATTAGCTCCTGTTGTCATGATCATACTGCAAGGAACTCCATCGATATCCCATTGATGGGACAGTCCGTTATGTTGCCACTCACTGTATAAATTTTAAGAGCTTTAAAAACAAGGTTTTTCACTCTGGTAACCTCCGTTCCTCGATATGGTCACTAATTGGTTTACTGCGTTGTGCTGGGAAATGGTCTTATTTCCGTACCCGGGGTGTCTGGCAGTTTCTTGTATGTGGCCTTCAACCGCCAGTTCCAGCACTTTAGAATTGTTTCTTTCCACTTCTGTTCCGTCTCAAGCCAATGACTGTCTGGTAAAAATCATCTGCTTTATATTCCGTACCCTGGGGTGTTCTGCAATTCCGGTCTTAGGTTGACCTTCAACAACCACATCTCCAAACCTTAGATCCACTTTGTTCTCGCTCCTACTCCGTATCAAAGCGTCAAATTATCAAGATAAATCATCTAAACGAGCCATCAGTTGATCCACTGGCTCGTGGACTCTCACAGCTCTGAACTGGGTAGCGATCTATACTAGTTGCTTTCTGGGCTGCTTCCTCGAACTTCATGGCGTACAACAGAGCGCTTTTCAAATCTTTTAACATCCACCATTCGCAGTGCTTTCTGTATTTCAGGGTCCCAGAGGCCAACTGATGAAATATTGCAGTGACAGAATTTCTCTTGTTTCTGTCAGGCACTCCGAAAAGGCGTGATGTGACAGCCTTTCAACATCCGCGGCGAGCTCCTGAAGTGTTTCGGTAGGCTTCTGTTGACGAGATTTTAATTGGAGACTGCTGTAGTCTTTTAAACATTTCTCGTCGAAGCGCAGCTCCAAAGCGCCGGATAGAGCTTCGAAATCTAGCCTTTGATTTTCGGGAAGCGTCTGCAGGATATCCACTGCGTCTGCTCTCAGAGAAGTGGCGAGATGACAGGCCTTAGCTTGGGAATCCCATCCATTCGCATCCGCAATGATAGAAAATTGTGTCCTATACACCTGCCAGGAGGTCTTCCCATCATATATAGATAGTTTCAGAACGGAACGAGCAGGCATCGATAAAATTTAAAACCTGCAGAATTGTTTCCTACCGTCGCTATGCACTTCTTTAGGCTGTCAACTTCTTTGGCGACGGCAGCAGAAAACCCTATCATCAATTTGTTGTTCGACGGCAGAAACTCTCTCTCTTCTATATGTCCAACTTTAGTTTCAACCGCGTCTATTCTGCTTCCATAGCCTCAAATTTATTTTCTATTACGCAGGTAATTTTCTCTTTTCATTTCGTCCTGACCTGCTTTCATCTCATTTTTAAGAGATTTCATTCTTCCTTAAAGGATTTCCTGGCCCAATTTCATTTCCTCTGAGGGATTCCTGGCCCAATTTCATTTCTTCTTTAAAAGATGTTTGGCACATCTTCCATCTTTTCTTGGAAAGCAGTAATGAGCTGTCTCAATTGTTCTTCATCCCTTGTATTGGCATTCAAATCCCACTTCTGACACCAAAATTGTTGCGTGCGTACGGGTTCGTTATGAATGATGCACAAGTCCGATGAGAAATGAAAACAAAATTTATTATTATCACAACAAAAATGCTTAAATTTCTCAAATTATCATGCAGTATTACAATATCTCACAGTAGTTATCTTTAACTACTCAAATATCCAATAGACGTAATTCAAAACAGCTAAAGAACGCTAATCCGCGAATTCGCTACAATCAACAAGAGCAGTTTTCTAAACACAACAAACTAAGCAAGCAACTACGAACTGAGATGTTTTCCTCCTTTTATAAGATTTTAAAATCACGCGCTAGAATTTTCCAGTACTTTCTCAAATCAAAAAGAGATATTTATTTATTTAATGGCGCTCTTGTATTTTCAATTTCCGGCTTCGCTTTTTAATATTCGTCACGCGCTGCACTGCGCGAGAAATAAAACCATTTAATTTTATAAATGAACTAACATTAGCTTTTTTTAAATAGCAAATTCGTAACAATATATATATATATATATTTTGCATTGATGCATATATTTTAAATTGCTGTCTGTATTGCAACTGAATTTTTTATTGCAGAAGCTCCTAATATATCTGCCAGTGATAGTGAAGGCGGAAGTATCCGTAAGTTCAATAAAATATTAAATTGTAATTTGTTTAAAAAATTTATATGCTGTATCAATATATGTAGTATTTTGTTTTCACCTCATTTATCTTTCTATTTATAACTATGCTGAATAGCATCTGCAAATTATGGGATTGATGTTTGCATAATTATTGAAATTTAACATTCAGTTGGACATCCTCATTTTATTAATTTTCCTTAACCCCCAAAACTAAAATTCTGATTATCATTTTTTGAATTTGCAGTTACCTTTGTAATTTTTAAAAGCACCTTGAGTGGGCATGTATGTATCTTCAGCAAATGATTTCTACGACTTTATATTTTAGTTAAGGAAACAAAATGTTGTTAATATTTGCTAACTTTTAAATAAATGAATTCGGTTTTCTTGTATTTTTACAGCCATAGTTATTCATAGTACTCTTAAATGTGTATTGAACTCATTTATATTCCAATGATTTTTAATAATTAAATGGTCATACTTTTCCCTTGTTCTTGCTAGTATTTGTTGATATTTAATACTGTAATAGTATTTATCCATTTATATTAAAAGAAAACTTGTGTTTGTTTAATGATTTATCTCCTAGGAGGACCTGATGAGCCCATACTTTCTTATGAAGCTGTCACTCAAGAAAAAAGTAAGTGTTACTTCATATTTTTATTACCTGCTCTTTTCTTGTTTAGTAAAATAATTTTGCAAGGTATTGTATGGTATTTTCTTCAAGTATTTTAATATAATCTTTTATACATATATTTATCTAAGATATAATTAAAAAGTGTGAAACTATGCCAAGGAATTAGATCCAGATTTTTGTGCCTCAAGTTATGTTAACTAATAAGCCTTTTTTCAAGATATTTTCTGGTGTGTAGTAAGTGAAGGGAATCTTACTGAAATTCCAAAAATAAATGAATAAAGCTTTCTGCCACCCTTGCATTTTTAATGCTTAAATACTTTTTTAAAGGTAGGGCCTAACTGCTGTTAAAGATGTCATAAATGTACATGCCTTGTAAAATTATTTAAAACAAACTGAATATTTATCTTAAACTGTGTTTATATTCTTATTTCCAATTTCAGTTAGTTATGCCAGACCAGTAATTATACTTGGACCTCTAAAGGACAGAATAAATGATGATCTAATATCAGAATATCCAGACAAATTTGGCAGCTGCGTTCCTCGTAAGTAGTGTTCCTTTAGATGTAATGCATGCTTTTTATTGTATTGCTGGTCAACATTTAAGTTTTATGTTTATTCAGATTTTAAGAATTGTCTAATTTTATAGCTTTTCAGCTTTCAATAAATGTAATTTTAAGCAGTTGTATTTAAATATATAAATTTTCTCAACATTACAGATACTACACGCCCAAAACGAGACTATGAGGTTGATGGAAGGGATTATCATTTTGTCTCTTCAAGGGAGCAGATGGAAAGAGATATACAGAATCATATGTTCATTGAAGCTGGACAGTATAATGATAATTTATATGGCACTAGTGTTGCTTCTGTAAGAGAAGTTGCTGAAAAGGTGAGTTAAACTGTACTGAAATATTGGTTGATATTCTTTCTATGCATATGTTGACTGATGAACTGTTTAATTGTTAAACCATTAGGATTACAGTATTCTGCTGAAATACTGTAACTTTGCAAACTGCTTGAGCCTATGAATTTATTCCTTTGTATATTCTGTTTAAAGAAGTGGGGGTGGGACTTAGATACACATACCATTCTGAATGGTGCAACCCTTGTATTATATTTTCTCATTAAAATTGTTTTACTTTGTCAATGTATGTAATTCTTGAATGGTATTTTGGAGATTTTCAGTCCACTTTGTATCTGACTGTTAAGATCAATGATGGTGTTTTATAGAATGATTAAAAATGCATATTATTTTATAAAATGATTTAAAATGCATATTATTTAATAAAATGATATGAAATGCATATTAGTTTATAAAGTGTTTTAAAAATAAACTCTATTCTGTTACTTCATTTGGTTATCAAATAAGTTGGTTACTCTTTGCAAAATTAAGCTGTTAAAGGAAAATTGCTAGCATTTTTAATCGAGGTATTCTTCAGTAATGCTGTTTCATAATGCTAAGCACTTTTAAAATGCTGCACAGCCTTGAAAATTAAGAGACCTGCACTTTTAAAAATCATCATTCATGGAAAAGAAATTATGTGCTAATTTGTTAGATGGAAATAAGTGATTGAAGAGAATTGAGAAATTACATACAAAAACAATCAAATGTTTGGGTAGTCTATTTAAAAAATATTCAACTTTATTTAACTCTGTTTAGGTTATTTGTAATTTAGTGGCTCCCAATTTAACATTTATTGTGAAAATGAAGCATTCTCTTTAAAAAAGTTTTGGTCTTTTTCCACTCATAACTGGACAAATTTTTATTTTCCCTTCCGTAAATTTTTTTTAGATCACTTAACTATATATATTTTCTTTATATAGAACTGATTTTAAAACTAGCATTACTTTATTAATGGCCCGATTTTAGCTTTAAATACACATAACTGTGTATTTGTAGTGCACATGAACAGAACATTTACAAGCTTTTGAACAATATAAGAAAAAATTGTAAAGCACTTGAAGAAGAAAAGCCATGTTATAAATTGTATTAATGCTGATAATGGACATGCTTATAATCAAAATTAACAAGAAAAAGGCAGTTTTGATGAAATTAATTGACTATGTAACTATTTTATTGGCCTTTGTATGTTTTAAAATGCTTCTCTGGCGGGGGGTTAGGAGGTAATGAAATACTAGTTTTATACATGTTTTTGAAGTTATGAAACCTTTTTTCTAAAATCTTCTTAGATGATATTTGAAATAAAAATTCTCTTCTTTGTATTCCTTTAAAAGGCAAATCTTGATTAATCCTATAAAAAATCATATAATTTTTAAAGTGGCTATTAAATTGATCACCTTTATATGAAACCTTTTTCTTTCTGAATGAACAGAGATTCTATTATTTTTTATCATTATGCTGTTGGTATACTTACAAAGTTTGTTAATGAAGGTGGTGTTTTATATAAATTTTTAATTAAAACTGTTTATTATTTTCTGATCATTTATCAAAATTAGTTGAAATATGTAAAGCTTGCAATTTACAGAAATAAAATATGTTTAACAACCTTACTGATATTATAAATGCGAGTTGTTTGTTACGCTTTCACGCCTTAATTACTTTAACCGATCATCATGAAATTTTTCAAGAAATATTTTTGATATATTAGAAAAGGTTATAGGCTATAAAATGTCTGCATATGACTTTAATTAGCTGAGATATTAATTAAAAATTACATTTTTCACTTACTTTGTTGGGTTTTTACCTATTAAAGGGATTTGGCTGGGCACCAATTAATTGTTTTACAAACATCTATGGAACAGCGGTTAGTTGAATTTTGAGACACATAATCCCTGGTTGCAAAAATTTGTTAGAATCCATCAATACCATTCTCATCTTTGTATGAATTTAATCAGCTGAAATATTAATTAAAAACTCTGAATTGAACGAGACTCAATAGCGACATTAGGTACTTTTTCTTAAGTCTTCCCGTGTGGGTCCAATAAATTGGTGATAAAAATTATAAATTTTGATCCAATTATCCAAATTTCTAACTTTTGTTGCACTCTGAATGATAGGAACATTGGTGGTAAAACTGTTTTTGTCGCTTAATTACTTCGAGCTGAATCGCAGATGAAACAATACTCCTTGCTAGTAACTCTTTGTTGGCAGGCTGCGATCCGAAAGCAGTGGAGGGGGGAGCTGGTATCCGGTCGACAGTTGGGTTGGCGAAAAGGTCCAAGTTCACGGTTTTACGCATGGAAAATCATTAAAAAATTAATAACTTGATTTCTAATTAACTTACTTGAACCTATTATCAACATTTTGACTTTTGTGATATATTTAATGTTTTTTTTTTTTTTTTTTTTTTTTTTTTTTTTTTGTATTTTTTAAGAGATCTATACAGTTTTCATATATTTCTGTTATTGTTGCTTGAAAAATTGCAATTTTATATTTTGTACATTTTAATGTGTGCGATAACAACTATTGTTTTGTCATTTTAAGGCAATCAAATGTTCTTTATTTTTAAAAATAACCCTTTGGTTAGGCGTAAATACAAACTATCCAAGGCCTATAAGTATTGAGAAGGGCAGTATTTACGGAAATCTTACACGGAGTGTGTTTTTAAAATTCACGGGGATTTGAAACTTATTTAAGGACATCAACGCGAGCAAAGCCGCGGGTAAAGCTAGTATTAATATATGTTTGAAATTATAAAGCTTATAACTGGTTATTCAAAGCATGCTGCTATTAAATTGTACCAAAAATGCACTGAAATGCAGTGCTACCTGTTAATGAGAATTGTTAAAGGATTAAAAAACATTAACAATTGAATTGAGCAATAACATGGGTTGGATTTTGAGGGGAAAGTATAGCATCATATGGCCATTAAGGAGGCTAACTCTGAGCTGGATTTACCATTAATCGAAATAAGCTCATGTTTAGGAGATCAGGAAGAGAGGGCACAACAAAAAAGTTATTAAGGACCAAATAAAAGGCACAGAAATTTCTCATAGCTGGTTTATCATAAAATGTATGCTGCAGCTAAACCAAGGGAAGAGAAATAGAAATAAGGATGGGCTTTGTTAGTGTAAACATATGTGGGGGCACTTCAAGGCCTCTAATCTTCCCTGGTTTAACCAGTGCTGTTATTTCAGATAAATGTCTAGCTTTTAGGGATAGCTATAAGAACATATGGTTTATGAAATTTTTTGTAGAGACAAAGATTAGTGAATTCATGTAGTACCAGAAGCTGTATGTAACAGGTAACTGGAAAATAAAACTAAATATCTGTAATGAATAAAATTTTCAGCCACACAGATTTTTGAAGTGATGTATGTGCTGCTAAGTGTTCATATCAGACATTTCAATGGGGAAGGGGCTCTTAGTTAATGATAGCGAGACATCTGTTAAAAACTGAATTATGTTTTACATCTATAAACTCTGATCACTTTTCAACAAAAATATTACGTAATTTTTCTTTGTATGCATACTTAACATTGAAGGTAATCAAGTGTATTTTTGGCAGGGCAAGCATTGCATATTGGATGTCAGTGGAAATGCAATTAAACGACTTCAAGTTGCTGGTCTTCATCCCATTGCTATACTTATAAAACCTAAATCTGCAGAGTCTGTAATGTAAGTTGCATTCTTAAAAAATAAAAATTACTCATCTTTATATTGTAATGCATAAGGTGATAATTTTTGTTCATAAATTTTCTCTTAGTGAAATGAATAAGCGCATGACAGAAATGTCTGCTTTGAAAGCCTACGAAAGAGCTCTGAAGTTAGAGCAAGAATTTGGTGAATATTTTACAGGTAATTATCCTTTTTGATGTGTATATCTATTGATGCATGGCACTAAGTAATTCATTTTGAATGAAGACTTTTTAAAATGGAAATAAACTATTTATTTGACCTAGTACAGCAGAAAGATTTATACAAATGTTAGTTTTTAAAGAAATTATTGTTTAAAAATCTTAAAATATTTTTATCTGTTTTATAAAGATATAAATAATGTCTTCAAACCTCAAAAGATCTAAAATTAGCAACCTTTAAAGTCAGTAATTCAGGAGAGTTTTTTGCTCATGGTTTTTCTTAGATGGTGACAAAATATAAAAATTTGTAAAATTTTGAATGCTAGAACTTGAATAAAAACGTATGAGCTATTGGAGGAGGAGTGCTTGAATGTTTTTGATATTGGCTGGCAGTTGATAAGTAGTTTACAAAATGCAACTAGAGTTGTTTTACTAGCAAAATTTCTTTTTCTTGTTGTTAGAATTGAAAATAAGTCAACTTAATATTTCCTTTCTCTGATAAATTATTAAATATGTTATATAATTAAGCCTAGTTTGAAATTGTGTTAATTTCGGCTAAGAGATATGAAAAATTTATTCTTAAAAATTGGCAAGTTAATCGGTGACTGAAATAATTAAATTTAGAAATAAAGTAAATGTGCCTTATTGTTTCTGTTACTTAAAAAAACTTCATGCATTTCAAAACTGATGCTAATCTCTAAAAATGTTTATTTTTCTATAAAATGGGCATCATTAAAAGATTAAAGTTTTCGTATTTTTTTTTAAGTAATACCAACATTCTGATACTTCTTTGATTGTTTCTTGATCAAAAAATGGTATGTTGCTTTGGTAGCTAGTGATGTTACCAGAAAATTAAATCTATCCGGTTAATAATCCAGAATCTATCCGGTTAATAATCCAGATCTAACCGGTTAATAATCCAGAATTAAAAGGTCTGAACAATGCTTATAAGAAATTTGAGATTTCATAATTTGCATTAATTTTGGTAATTTGTTTATGCCAATTTTTTAATGAATACTTCTGCCATATTATTAAATCTTGTATATACTTGCACACTGTGTTTCGATTAGTATAATTGTTGGAATGCCAGCTGTCGGAATTCAGAGTGACTCCCAGAGAAGGTTTGAATGTTTGCAAGTGTACAATGTCTTTGTGACATGAGGGTACTTAACACTTTACCAACCGATTGCCTATTAATCAGCTTTTTATCGCCTACCGACCAATTGGCTTTTTTCGCCAATGCCTACCGACCAATAGCCTATTAATACCGCTTTTTTCTCAGGGCTTCCTAAAAATAGTCTTATCAATCAGTAGCCATGGTGATAAACAATTGCCATTTGCTATATCATTTGCATTTTATTATTAGTATTGAGGTACATTGCTTACTAGCATTAAGTGCGTAACTCCCACATTTTCACTCCGTTTTAAAAAAAATGGTGCTGGAGAGTTTTATTTAGACGATTTATCAGATTGTCCTGACAGTTATTCAGGACAGGGAGAATCTGTGGCTGAGCGGCCAGTCGAACGTGCATATGCTGTTGAACCGCTAGCAGTTGGTAAAGTGTTAAGAGTAAGCAAATAAGCCTAAAAGATCCTTGGATCCATCTACTGTTGAATTCTCCTTTAAAACTTGGACAAAAGTGCTCAAAGCCCTTGCCAACAACAGATGCAATTTTACTGTCAGATAAATGATTTGAATAAATGTATGCTGTAAAAAGGATAAAGATTTCTGTTTTCAAGGACTGGTAAAGAAATATTTTAAACAGCTAACTGTATCAAACCTTTTTGTATCATTTTCTAAACAAGATGATGATGGTTATATAAACATTGGTTTTATAAACAAGATGATGGTAGACTACAAGCCTCGTATTATATTTCGTTAATCACAAAAAATGGGAAAACCACATGGAATTAATCTTGGTGGCAGTCAAAGAGGTAATAAAAACTATTCATCATAAGGTGCCATCATGTATCATCTAGAAAATTCCTTTAAGTTGTAATTAGGAGCAAAAAAGAATTGATGAAATGGCTAAAGGCGCTGAAATAATATTGTGATTATTTTCAAATTTTCTATTCAACTCGGTGAATCAACTTTACCAAATTCATAGTATTTTGTTACCTGCTACTGATGGTGCTTAAGTTATGACAGGGTGTCACAGTACATTCGAAACGAGCAGTAACACATGTACTCACTGTACATTGTGTTATTGTCATCATTTGTTTGCAAGAAATCTGAATGATGCCTGCATTCATCATTTCATTATGTTAAGCAGTTCATTGCATGAACGATTATTTAGCCAACTTTGTAGTGAAAATGATGAAGATTACAATCGTTTGCTGCTGAATAGAGAAGTTTGTTGGTTCCCAGAAGGTATTTTTCTGAATCGTCTTTTCAATTTGACTCAGTACTGGAGCTTGAAAACAGAGACGAAAATTCCACGGAAACTTGATTACATCCAAAAATGACATAGTGTATTTGAAAGACCAGTTTAAAGTATTTAACTCAGTTTATAATTACAAGACATTGAGTTGAATTTAATTAAAAATAAAAAATTCAGTAATTGCATTTGTGAGAAAACTTATGTTCATATGAAATCTAGGTAGAGATGAATGCAGCCACTTTCCCATATTATCAGCATTTTCTGCAAAACAGAAAGATTTATTTGCTTCATGCTAACATTTAGACATGCTTCATGCTGATTTTATGGAGTCATTTCAGAATATTTTTAGCATGAATATACCAAGCTGGGTTTTCATTCTTTCACAAATGCAGAACTATCAAATTTAGAAAGGAATGTGTAGAACTCACAATTATTTTAGAACTGAAAGTAAAATTCAGAAAAGGAAACCAAGAGTCCTGGCTTTGAAAGTCAATACTAGTTCTCTACGCTGGTTTGTGGACTAGAGTCTAGAAAGTTTTAATTGATTTTTCCTTCATTGTATTTGGCTGAGCTTGAATTCAGTAAATTTACTGTCTAAGGAAAGGAACGGACTGCACTTCACTGAACGTGGCAATTTACGACCGATGTTAACAAAACTGGAAACCAACATTAATAAATTGTTAAAATTACACCAGTCTCGACCATATGACTTTTTCACTCTTACTGATTTTGTGTTTATTTTTAAATATTTACTAAACAATTTTTTACTTCATTTGATAGATGTTTTAATTAATTTCTACTTTGTACAGATAGACTAATAAAATATGTATAAATAATATGCAATAATATTTGGTAAAATTAACTGTTATGGAAATGGAGGATTTTGAATTTTTTCTTGCAAAGAAAGGTGGTGGTGGTGGTCCAGAAAAGGTTGGGAACCTCTTAGATGAACAGTGGCTACATAGTAAAGATGGATCAAAATATTATTTAAAACTGTCACATAACAGTTAAAAACAATAAGTAAAACTTTATAGATTTTACTGTGTATGTCTGAAGTTATGAATGTGCAAAATTTGCGTAAACTTTATATAATAATAACTTAACATAGTATATTTGTCACTGAAACATGTCTTTATATACTTCCTGTGCCTTTATATTATAGCAGCTATCAATAACATTTAATATTATTTTTTCATAGCTATTGTATCAATAACATTTAATATTATTTTTTCATAGCTATTGTACAAGGTGACACACCTGAAGAAATATACAGTAAAGTCAAGCAAATAATAAGAGACCAAGCTGGTCCCACTATTTGGGTCCCTGCTAAGGAAAAGCTGTGATGCAACATGACACATATCTTAGGTCTTTCATAATTTCTGTGAATGGACATTTAACTGAATAAATCATCAAAATGTGCAAGTTCATTAGACAAGAAACAGGCAGCTTATTAGTGGCTACTTGAAGAGTATGAGGCAATGCGTCAGAGAAATAGTCCTTGCTGCAGCGAGAATTGAAGTCGTTGCTTAATTTATCCATTAACATGATTAATCTGCTGAAATTGCTTTATATAGCAGTCATACATTTCATTCTCATCAGTTTGTGACAAACGAAGAGACCTGTATAGTGTGTATGTGTGGACAAAGCCTTCTTAATTTAAAATGCATTTGACCCCAGATTTGTCAAAGCAAAAATTAATTATAGCATTCCTGTCATCTCAGCAAAAAGCAGTGGTTATGCTGTTTCCTTGAATTGTGTATATTTCTAGTGCTTTAAAGAATGGTTGGTTTTAGTTTTTTAGAAGACTTCTTTCCAAGCCAGACAGCTCTTAAAAGTGCAGTTTTTGAGGTTTTATAATTGAAAACTGGGATAAAAAGAAGCAGAAATTTTACATTTAAGAGTTTAGTTAAAATATATTTGAAAAGGATTTTTACTTATAATGCTTTTTTATGTATATCATGACATTTTTCTTCATGTTTTTAATCAAGTTATTTTGCATAAATGGGACAGGGCCAGCCACGTCTATTGTGTAACTCTCTGGAAATGCATTCCATTTTATTAAAGTATAAAATCTCATTCCTCATATTGTACTTCAAAATTTTAATGTTTTACACTATTTAAAAATGAAATATTGTATTTTAAAAATATAAAATATGTTCTTAAAATCCAGAGGGCACACACTTATGTGCATCAATGTACTTATTGTCTTTGTTTTGTGTTGTGTATATCTTGTGTAAAATCATTAAATGTGACATATATGAGTTTCCTGTTAACTTTGCTATTATTCTGCTAAGTAGTTTTTGTCTTACTGTCCACTAATATATGCAGAATTTCAAAATCAGTGGCTAAATATGGTTAAGGACCAGAATGTCTTATAAATTGTGCAATTAACACAAATTTATAGCAGTTATAATATCTGTATTGCCTTTCATCAAAAATGTGTATCTGGAAGTGTTCTATTTTACTTCCAATTTGTAAAGAGTGATCTGAACCTGTATTTTGCCTTGTAAAGGTTTATGCTCAGCCAAAATGTACATTTTTAAAATCACAAATACATGCATATGGATGGGGAAAAAACCTGCAGTGATATATGTAATTAAAAGTTGACTCTTGCAAAGTAATACCTGTTGATTCAATAGATGATAAATGCAATCTTTCACTGTTAAGCAGAATTGAGTAATAAATTATGAATAAAAAGTTTTTTAGATGTTTTTGTCTAAATATGTCAAAACATGATCTTATGAAATATTTTGTACAACAGTACAATTAATCTCTAATGTAAATAAAACTTATGAAACAAAATGCTTCTTTTTTTTATTATCCATTTATGGAATACCAAATCCACAAACTGTTTCTCTAGAAAGATATTTAGAAATGGGAATTCATGCATGAAAAATTTTGGAATTTAAGTTGTTTTCTGATGTTATATCATTCATAACTGCTGAATATTTATAAAATACAAATAACTAATACATCATTACTTTTAACTCGGGAGCATGTGCGCCCTGGGTCCAAAAGACTCGGCTCGTGTTTTTTTGGAGAAAAAACTGTTATTTCTCAGGTAAAAGTGTTACATTTATCCCAAAATTGTATGATCAAACTTAAAAAATATGCAAATTATAAAATTTTAATTTCTATAATACTTTTTGAAATACATTTTTTAAAGGAATAGAAAAATGTATTATATCAATATAGAATCTATTAGGAATTCATTATATTATTATTCAGGTTTATTACGAATATAAGAACTGAAAGAACATCTTCGGAAAGCTTCAACGTTTTCATCAGTTGTTATGAACTCGCCGGCAGTGTAATATTTCTGGCAGTTATTCACATAACCTTAAAAAAAAAAAAAAACAAGTCTATCTGATTCTTTTTTTGACGACGCGAGTTCCTGTGTCATCAAAACACAAACATCTTGATAAAAAAGAAAACGTTTGTAGCACATAGTTTCGTGGAAAATTTCCAAGCCGGTTTCGTTCTGTTGCCCGCAGATCCCGCATGACTTATGTCCAAAAAATCTAAAAGAGAGAATTTCAATTACAGTGGTGCGACAAGCATCTCTCTCTTTGAAAGCTGTCAGAAGTAGATGCAATATAAATATTTGTTTAACTGGCAACTTTCAACAACATTTGTTTACTTAGCAAAAGTTTCCACGATGCATTTGGAGTCTGCACATATTTTGCCTTACCCATGATTTCACGCAATTTAGTAATATTAGCAGGAGTTCTAACAACAGCTTAAAGGCTCGTTTCCACTACTGCATATGCGTTTCTCCAATCAGCGAGCGAATTCACTTTGATTGACATCTGCAATCCCGTCGGTGTGCAGTGACGGATGACATATGGATGGAGTTCAACAATGTTCAACTTCTATCCATATGTCTGCGCGTACGTTGGAGTCACGTGGTAATAAAGAAATTTTTAAATATAAAGGTAAATCTACTTCTGGATGTAATAAAATGTAAGAATTCAGATAACTCACTCCTACTTTTACCAAGAATTAGGGCTTGAAATATAGGTTTGATGAGGATTTGCTGTACTGACATTATTTTCATCACTTTTACTTTAAAAAAAAAAAAAGCAAAAGCTTGTAAAAAGGTGAGATTTGCTCTTAAAACTAGAATAGTTTTCATGAAAATCGAAAAGAATTTGTAAACATTGTCAGATGTGCAATAGTGCATCAATTCCAACATTAAGACTAAAATTGTGGGGGGGGAAGCATATTTGTCACTGAAACATGTCTTTATATACTTCCTGTGCCTTTATATTATAGCAGCTATCAATAACATTTAATATTATTTTTTCATAGCTATTGTATCAATAACATTTAATATTATTTTTTCATAGCTATTGTACAAGGTGACACACCTGAAGAAATATACAGTAAAGTCAAGCAAATAATAAGAGACCAAGCTGGTCCCACTATTTGGGTCCCTGCTAAGGAAAAGCTGTGATGCAACATGACACATATCTTAGGTCTTTCATAATTTCTGTGAATGGACATTTAACTGAATAAATCATCAAAATGTGCAAGTTCATCTAGACAAGAAACAGGCAGCTTTATTAGTATGGCTACTTGAAGAGTAATGAGGCATATGCGTCAAGAGAAATAGTTCCTTGCTGCAGTGAGCATTGAAGTCGTTGCTTAATTTATCCATTAACATGATTAATCTGCTGAAATTGCTTTATATAGCAGTCATACATTTCATTCTCATCAGTTTGTGACAAACGAAGAGACCTGTATAGTGTGTATGTGTGGACAAAGCCTTCTTAATTTAAAATGCATTTGACCCCAGATTTGTCAAAGCAAAAATTAATTATAGCATTCCTGTCATCTCAGCAAAAAGCAGTGGTTATGCTGTTTCCTTGAATTGTGTATATTTCTAGTGCTTTAAAGAAATGGTTGGTTTTATTTTTTAGAAGACTTTTCTTTCCAGCCAGGACAAGCTCTTAAAAGTGCAGTTTTTGAGGTTTTATTAATTGAAAACTGGGATAAAAAGAAAGCAGAAATACTTTACATTTATAGAGTTTAGTTAAAATATATTTGAAAAGGATTTTTACTTATAATGCTTTTTTATGTATATCATGACATTTTTCTTCATGTTTTTAATCAAGTTATTTTGCATAAAAATGGTAAAAAAGGAGCACTAATGTGTAGTCAATAAAAATTAATGGCGGCAGAAGAGCGATGAACGCTCGATTAGGAAAAGAACGTTTTGCTAAAAAATACTTATTTCTGAATTAACATTATAGCGAGAAATCTGCGTGCTGAAAAAGATAGCAGTCAGCTGAATTTAGTTAAAAAAAAGATAACTGCAACTACAGTACTTGTTCGTTCAAGAAAATCAGCGGCAAAAATTATAATTCCAAGTCCATGAAATAGCAAAATTTGTTCTGATAATCATTTCCTAGTTCTGCATACTCATTTAGCTTTAATGAAAATGAATGTCTGACTATATCAAACTGCTATAGCAAATTAGATATGATTAAAAGATTTGCTATTTTTTTCTTTTAAAACAGGTAAAAACTAAAAACGTTAATTATAAATTAAATTTGATAGCCTTTTAAATACTCCAGTTCATTGAAGAGTATGTTAAATTTGTATTTCCTTTTATAAATATATCTTTTTGGCTAACATATATTTGTAAGCACATGAAATATATTTTTAGTAGCCCGTTTAACTTCAGTCGGAACGCCACTTTAAAAGATAATGTTTTTTGTGAAAAATGTACTAGAAGTTGAAGAACAAACTCTGGTGAATTTTTCAGACGATAGCACACTGAAATAGGGCTAAAAAACTTAAGTTTTAAGAATTGATTTACTTGATGATGTATATAAGCCAAAATATGCATGCGACTCACGTGCAATCCTAGCTTAGTGGTAAAGCTGATAGTATCAATGTTCACCTTTTGGAGTCGTCAGTTCGAATCCCATACGCTTTTTGCACCTTGTCTGCAACTTTCTTAGCTTTTTATTCCAATTTGATCTATATTCGTGTTTTATAATTTATTTCTATTATTATATGCATTAAATATATTGTTTTATTTATGCTCTTATTTATTTAAATTTTTACCGCAAAAAAGTTTGAATATTATATAACACTAATTTAAAGCATATCCTGTACATATATATTTGAATTTAACAAACATTTTCTATTCGTAAAAAGCAAATTTAAAGTTAATTAAATTTAAATGAAATTTAATGCAAACAAACGATTAATTATTGCTGCGAACTAATCTACAATATCATTTAAATTCTGAAAGCATATGTAAATCAAGTGCAAGTATCAAAATCCATGAATAAATATATAATTCCAAAAATTTATTAATTCTAAAAAATTTATAAAAATGCATAAGTGAATAATGGGATAGATTATTAATCCTAAAAAAATTATAAAAATGCATAAGTGAATAATAGGATA